ATGTGAAAGTACTGTTAGAGGAAAGGCCCTTTTCACCATGTCGCCGCACTTCTCGATGGCAGAAGACAGCTTGCCACGTACTCATTGAGGGACCCGATGACTTAACTGACTTTTCCGGTGCGCCGGATTAATGGGACAGATGCGCTCCTTTGACACTGACATGGACTGCGTGATGATGTTAGCTCGCAGGTTAGCTATTATCCATCCATCCATTCATCCACTTTCCGATCCGCTTCATCCTCACAAGGGTCGCGGGGGGATGCTGGAGCCTTTCCCAGCTGTCTATATAGGCGGGGGACACCCTGAACCAATCACAGGGCACACAGAGACGAACAAGCATCCGCGCTCACAATCGCATCTAGGGACAATTTAGAGTGTTCCATGAACCTGCCATGCATGTTTTTTGGAATGTGGGTGGAAACCGGAGTACCCGGAGAAAACCCACGCAGGCCTGGGGAGAACATTCCAAACTCCACACAGGGAGGCCAGTGCCAGAATTGAACCCTGCACCTCTGCGGTTAGCTATTATGTTTTGCAAAATGACAAGGCAACAAAACATTTTCTATCCGGCCTACATGTGAGAAAATGGCGGCTTGGTTGCCCCGTTGTCCTTTTAGAAATGGGTACTCCTCCCTTGGGTACTCCTTGAAGTCTTCCCTGTCCAGCACTATCCAATTGATTCATCTTCCTTGATCACCGGTTCCACTACTATTACATATTTTGAATTCATTTGGGAAATTTGAAGAAATAAATGAACTTTTTGGGGCCAATCCGGTAGTGGAAGCCCAAACACGTAGCAGGTATAGCGATAGTTCAACAGAGATGCTTGTCCCGTCCCAAATGTTTGTCAAAAGGAGACAATGCGCACGGTTTGAAAGGACCCTCGCCGCACACATTGTGCCCCCCCCGCCGGACGGAACGCCGTATGCTGGCACCGCCCCCGCCGTGCTGTGGCTATCACGGTACAGTGTACAAGACAAGCATACAGAGGCGACGCAGACAAAAAGTCAATTTGTTCACAGCAACGGCCGCACAAAAGGCGCCAGTTGCTCGGCAGAGAGGGGGGGCCCCCCGCTTTAGAGAGGCCGGGGGCCCATGATGCATACGTCTCTGGCCTCCAGTCCCTCCCGTGGCGCTGCGGCGGTGCCTTTTCATTATTTATCTCCGGCCAGCTCGGAAGAGGGGAAACTAATTAAGAGCTGCCTGCAGGTGGGCCGCTGCAGGCTTTTACAGGTCTGAGGACGAAGAGGAGGAGGAGGTGGGAGGAGGAAGGAGGACTGACCACCCCAGGTCACGGGACGACAGTGCCACAATAGGGTTTGAGTGAAGACACGGTCGAAGAGGGTTTAGGTTTGTGACGGAGGCCGAGCAACTCACTCGTTAAAACACAAAATTTGGGAAAAACTCGACTCGACTTGAAATCTGTACATTCATTAGAGTAAATAAATACATTTGGAACAGCCTGTATGAGCTTCCAAACCCTAGGTAAGAGTCGAAAAATTATCCTGTAAATGTCATGGGCTCATTTCAAGCGCCTCCACCCCCCGCAAAAAATAAAGAAATAAAAATCTGTGAGATAATTGACAGCAGAAAAATAAATAAACCAATATAATATTGATAATAATGATAAGAAGAAAAAGAAAAGTTCAAAGATAAATATTTAAACAAAATTAAATACCATAATTGTGTTTTAAAAAGAGAAATAAAAAGGAAAATGTGTTTTTATTGTATATATGGATTTTTTTTTTTCAAAAATGGTTGGGGAATAAAAATTGAGTGATTTGTGTGTTTCAACAGCCCCAAAATACATGAAAATTAAACCACAATGACTTTGCAGTAGTAGTCGTACTACAAGTAAAAAAAAAAAAGGAAGAAAAAACAAGAGTCACAAGGCCAAACTGACTATCTTTGCTCCAGATCTGCGTAATCCTTTTGACACCCACACACGAGAAACACACACACACTTCCTTGGTGGTGGCAAAAGAGTCTTTCAAGCTTTGTGTAAGATTTTCGAGAGGGAGGATCGCACGCATACGCTACCGTGCACCACTTCCTCTTCAGAGGCCCGGTGATGACGATGCTGACGCTTCTCACACATATAAAGGAAATGAAGAAAAAAAAAAAAAACACTCCTCCTACACAGCCGCAAAGTATCGGTCCTCTGCAACAAATCCAAACAAACAGCGGGGCTCTCCAACTTGGGCTACAGCGGTGGAGTCGCCGAAGGAAAAACATGGCGTGCGTGATCGGTAGGCGACGCGCCCTCGGGCAGTTCAGGGTGGAGATCCACATACGGAGTCCAAAATGACAGCGCTATCCTGGATGGCATGACACACCAGGGCAGCTGTTTTGGGAGTGCGCCGCACGGATCTGGTCTGAGCCGGGCCATAAAAGCTGACTTACGAGCGCGCCGGCACTGCACGGCACACAAGCGCTCACTGTCTCCGAACGCCCACTTGAAACGCGCGGGGGCCAGAACGCTCACACGCATCCGCAAATCATGTCACAATGGAGGTGCCACGTTTTCGGTATGGCTTGGTTCAGTCAGGCGGGGGGGGGGTTCGGAAACTTCTTGAGGCCAAGGACACTTTACTGGGAAGACAATGTACGCATAGCGCTAAATGCCGTGGGCTCCTGTTTTTAGATATATTAATAAATTATGTGTTAACCCCCCCACATCCCCCAGAAAAAGGCTTTATCCTGCCTTTTTCCATCCTTTCATAATAAGAGAGTTTTCACAAAGTGCAGCCGTTTCTCCCAGTGGGCACAAACTGACAAACGGGACTGACTTCAGATCTAAAGTGGTGCACGCTGCCATCTACTGGTGATTGTGCATCAATAATGTTGTTTCCAAACTTGAAATTTACAGTGAAGCAGTAGCAGACCCTCTCTCACCAGTACCCGCTAATAAAAGGTAATTGACGTGTTTAGTCGTCAATGGCAGTTTGTTGTTCCGTTCAAAAATGTGACTTCCAAGTTTGAGGATGATAGCTTTCAACCAACAACAACAACAAAAAATTATAATAATTATATATTCATATTTAAGGAAGGAAATGGCCTTTAAAAAGTATTTTCCAAAGTGTTTAAGGACTTTATTAAAGATGGTATTCATTTAAATTGTACTAGTGAAATAAATTAACATTTGGACAGCATTAAAAATGATGAAAATGCAGCTGTGTTGGCATCATATATTCCCTGAATTGCTATTGTTGTTGCTATATATTTTTTTTTATGTTATGATGCCATGCCAACCATTCAATCAATAATCTGACAAAAAACGGTTTGGTTCATTTGGCACCTTGCGCAAACAGACCAAATGGAATAAAACATGCACTGTAGCAAAATAGAACAGAGGTGATTGGTGGAAATGGTGCTGAACTGAACAACACTTTTTTTTTTTTTTTTTTTTTACACAAATAAATGCTCCTTGGGACTAGAAATATTCCAAACAACACAAAAATAACTTGGGTTTTAAGTGATGTCCATTCACAATATTTTAAAACGTTCCCATAGGATCGTCTTAGATGGAAGACGGGGCAAAGAGTGGAAGGTGGAGGGAAGAAAAGAAGGAAGGAAGGAAGGAAGGAAGAGGCAGAGTGGTCAAGAAAAGGAGAAGAATAGCATGAGAGCCAGTACAGTACCTTGTGGAATTCAAGTGGTGTGTGGAGAAAGAGTCCTGGACCGATGCCACAAACGGGCAAGTCAAAAGACTGCAAAGAGAAACAACATGCATTCTGACGCTCAGAACTCTCCTCTCGAAGCAGTTGAGCAGTGGTCTTTTTTTTTGGGGGGGGGTGGTGGTGGTGGTCTGCGGGTCGTGTTTAACGGATGATGTTAATAATGAGACTTTCTGAATGAAGCTATAGTTGGTACCAAATATGACCGTTATGTGACAAAATAAATACAAAAAACTAAGGCAAAAAGTGTACAGCCCCTAAAAAGCAACCACTTGTGCAGCAACACTGTTCAAAATCTGTACAGCAGATGATTTAAACAATTGGATACCTTCGAAAATTGTATCCATTTGATCTCATCTCTCTACCAGCTTCGCAAAAGTCAAATTTAGCTCAGCGAGCACCGACAGAATGCACTCAACATGACAACCGAATCAAGTCAAAAGGACGTCACTTGGGCACTAAGTTACCTTCAACTTGTATTGATTTTTTTTCCATGGGAGACAAGAGAATTTCCTTTTCCATTGGAAAAAATAAAAAAAATGGAAAAAGTGATGGATTCGAATGCCCACCCCTGATTGAAATGCTTGACAAATCACAACATGACAGATTCCACTCCAGCCCTGACGGTGGCAGTGGTGCATGTTACAAAACAGCCAGAAGATGACAGCAAAAGCAAAAACTTCTTTCACCGTACCGCCATCTGCTGGATCTGTTGGGTCACTGCCCTGTTACCACAACTTTTTGCTTGGCGGAAGTTATCATAACAACATTGCCGGATGTTCCAAAACACATCTATGACATTTTGGAGTCACCGGTGGCTTAAGCCAGGTCAACGGGAGGCGGCGACACTCGTGATGTCAGACCCTCGTGTGGCGACAGACCATCCCGGGATGTGCTATACCATCTTTTGTTTACAACTTTGCACTTTTTTTTGGACCTTTTTCTTTTCTTCACAAAGCACCTAGCAACAAACATTTCCACTTTAAGCCTATTTTGGACATTTTTACAGGGTTATTGGCTTTTTGAATAAAATGGAAATTCAATCTCGTCTTCATTTCAAGAGTTGTTACAAAGACATGTATATTTGGTGGCTCAGACAAATAAGGATAAAGCAAAATGATGAGTTATCTTGATAGATAAGATCGCTAGCAAGCTAGCCAGATAGCTAGTTAAACCGAGAGACAGACAAACACATGCCAGGGACCCTCTACTGATAAAAGGTGCCTTGACGAGGATGTCACGGGCATTCCCAGTATCAGATTAAAAGTGGAGTAATGACGAGTGGAAAGTGGGGCAATCAAAGGTGTGTTTGGAGTGACTTACTGAGAGTTGTCCGTCATCACAGAGAGGGGAATATCTTCCCACATACAGTCCAGCTCGTCAGTCAGGCTGCTAGCGCGAGTGATGTCGACGGACATGCTGTTGCCGTGGGTCATCTTCACTAGAAATAAAAGATCAACATTTAGGTCGGGATAGCTTTTGGTCTTGTTCCGACAGAACACATTGTTAGCTATTCACAAGCTTAGCCTGGATTGTGAAAATGACTGAGTTAGCAAAGCCTGTTGACTTGGCCTTGGGAGGAAGAAATTATGGATATATATATATATATTTTTTTTTTTTTAATGATGTATCTGGCTTTATTTTGACAACATACGAAATGTGTTTTATTTTTTATTTTTTTTGCTTAACGAAAATACATAGAGAGAAAAACGAAAGTGAAAGATACCTGGAGAGGAAGGACAGCTCAGAGTGAAAGACGACCAAGAATGATGACGAGGGCCTGGGTGCCATTTGATGCAAAAGACAATTAAAGGAAATAGACGAAGGGTTGAACACACCTATTTGACATTTAGAAGTGCAAAACAGTGCCCAAAATTCTGGATTTTAATCAGCATTTTATTTTCCAATCATGGTGTCATGACCGCCAGACAATGAGCAGTTTGTGATTATAGCGATCACAATAGCCAACCTGTGCTGGCAAGACACAGTAGAAGGGTGCAAAAAAAAAAAAAAACATGTACCGTATTTTCCGCACTGTAAGGCGCACCTAAAAGCATTCCATTTTCTCAAAAGCCGACAGCGCAATTTATAATCCGATGTGCCTAATCTATGGATCAATATTTTGATTTCTAGGATGTAGTATTTTAAATGTTCTGTAAAGCCCGTTGTTACAGCTGCAGCGGTTGGGAAAGCGCTATAGCCATAAAGCTGTATTGTATTGTATTCACTTTAGCATAACTCCATCTAGTGCACAGGTGTCAAAGTCCGGTCCTCGAGGGCCGGTGTCCTGCATGTTTTCCATCCCTCCCTGCTGCAACACACCTGATCCAAATGATCAGTTCATCAGCAAGCTCTATCGGAGCCTGATAGTGATCCTGATCATTTGAATCAGGTGTGTTGCAGCAGGGAGGGATGGAAAACATGCAGGACACCGGCCCTCGAGGACCGAACTTCGACACCTGTGATCTAGTGGATGCATAATGCAACCTCAGCCATTATTGTAGCTTCTATTCTAAGCGCCTTAGAATGCGACGCGCCCTATACATGAAAACAGTTTTAAAATAGGCCATTCACTGAAGGTGCGTGCGCCTTATACTCCGAAGCGTCTTATAGTGCAGAAAATACGGTAGTTGTTTTGTTTTTTTTTAATTTCCGTTACATTCGGCTTTTAACGGCCAACGAACATGTTAGCATCAACGTACCTGTCAAGTTAAGCAAACTCACCTGTTTGTCTGAATATTCTAGTGATTCCTGTGGAGAGGGACAGAGAGAGAGAGAGAACGAGGAAAGTCTTTCGGGAGTCCATTTGACCGATGCAATTACTGTTTCTGCAACATGATTATATTCACGACGCTTCAAAGTTGAGGACGGGTGAGATGATAAACATAGCCGCTTTTATGTGGTTATGCCTGAACACATTATAGATTTAAAATCAATCAATCAACAGATGTTATTATTTTTTTGCCATCCATTAATTGCGCACAATGTCTCCCCCCATTAAAATGGGGACGCAGAGCTCCGTAACCGAGCAGATGGCAAGCGGTACCTTCCACGGTGCTACTCGGCTCCTCCACGAAGAAGGAGACGTCCTTCTTCTCCACGGAGTCGTCAATATGATCGTAGGTGATTTGGGGGATGGATACGGCCAGCTCCGACGATACGCCCATGGGGCCGTGACCTCGCATCGACTTCCGCCTCCTCTTGGGGACCTTTTTCTGAAGCACACAGCAAACAAAGCAGCTGGGAAGAGATACACTTCATCTCTAACTTCAGCGAACACAAAATATTACAAATGACAAAAAAAATAAAATAAATAAATAACTCCAATGACACCATGTCACGCATAAAACATTTGTTGCCACACTGCTGTAAATCTATGGACAGTGTGCTGCTCCTTCTGGTATTCGTGCTTTGGCTATCTGGCGGCAGTACAAACAGCCATACGAATATACAGTAAATGGAGACGGTCACTTATATAATTCATTCTTAACAGAGAATAAACAGTACATGCCTGTGTGTGTATTTTGACTATCTGTCAACATGTGGTGCTCCACCGTTTATGTTCAAATATGCATTGCTTAAAGAGTTACCATCTTGCAACACCGATGCTACCCATTAGTCCATCTATGGTGTTTTCAATTGCTCGTTAGCATCAAGCTAGTTTTTCTAAAGTTGAAAATACATAACGCGCCCTTCTCCTTGGGTGATGTTTAGTTTGACAGTACAAGTTAACTAGTCATGAAAACAAACAAGTAGCCTCGTTTTCGAAGAATTTCCCATCCGCCCAACTCCTGCGTGTTATGAAACGCGTCGAGTTGACGGCGGATTGGCAGCTTGTATCTCAAGGTCACTTGTATCTCAAGCCACAACTGAATTTCTTTAAAGTGTCAACATGCAGCCGAATTAACTTTTACATTGTCGTCACTCAGATATTCATATTTCAAATAATTTGGGGCAGGGGGACACCCTGTATAAATGGTCATACCCTAAAGAAATGCCAGCTTTCAACTAATTCCCCCCATTATTTTGCACAAGATCCCACTCAATTTGTGTGAGAGCCGGTGCGTGACTCAGTGACTTTCCACGGACACCAGCGGAGTTCCAAGAACAAAGCGGTGCCTAACCGACCCCAACGCCACCCACACATGAGCTCAATCATTTAGCGGCAAGCGGTGCAGTCCGAAAAGCAAACGAGGTTGAAATGAGCCATTAAAAGGAGTCACTGATGGCGGAGGTGGAGAATTTCATCGGAATGAAAGGATGGCGGGAATATGCTGAGAAGAAGAGAGCGATAAACCAATTATGCAAAGAGGGAAGATGAGGGCGAGCGGGGATGGCAAATATGGAAGAGAGACAAAAGGTGTCACATGCGGCGACAGAAAAGAGCGGAAGCGGCTCCCCCCCTCCATCACACCCCCGCCGCCTTTTTAGGTGCGGGTTCAATGCTACACAAAGATTGTTTTGTTGTTGTTCTGCTGGACAAAAGTTTACTCCCATGAGAAAGGCGGCGGTGACATCATCTCAACTGACTGAGTCTTTGTGCGCACCAGACAAAGGCATCGAGTCATCCTGGTGGAGGGGGACCGCGTGTGTTTGTGGGAACTTCACTTGCCCTTTCATGCTGCTCGGCCCGAGGTGCAACGCAGCTAATATTGATGCGGAAGGTGAAGGAACGGCGCTAGAAGAGAATGCAGTGAAGGCTAGACATGCAAATGTGCCACTGCTATCATGCGCGGAGTTCCTGAAGGACAATTCAGAACAAATTCATACTTGGAACCGGAAGTTGAAAGAACTGAATAACTACAAACCAGAAGCTTCTACGATCCATATACACCGTTACGTTTTAACTGCGGGTCAACTGGCAACTTTGTCAACACATCTTTTTCTGAATGAGCCGACACGAAATGACATCTTACCGAGATGTTCAGCTTCCTGATGGTGGGGCTTGAGTTGTCTGATTCCACCTTGGCGATGGCCTCTGGAGTCAGGACGTACATTTTCCACGTCGCCGCACAGCCGTTGGGTTTCTCCGCCGCATAGCAGCGCCAAAGCGTCTGTGGGACATCAAGGGAATTAGACTCAAATAGATCTACAATGTTTTTTTTTTGAAAGTGTGGTTTTCTGAGAGAGAACATGAATTAAAGAGGGCAAAAAAACAACGAGGACGCAGTTACAAGTGAAATGACCATCATTTTTATTCTTTACTCTGTTCTTTGTTTTTTACATTGTGCACAACTCTCATTTATGTCTGGATTTGGGACGAATTTACATGGAAAACGCGTCTCTACTTATGAAATTTTCAAGTTAAGAAATTTCTTCCAGGGCCAATTAATTTCGTAAGTAGAGGTACCACTGTACTATATTGGAGTTGCAAAGATCGTCTGTGCTGTCAATTCCGTATTTTCACAAGGCTTATTCTCCATGTACGCTTCGTTAGCAAGTGGTGACCTCAAGAATTAAAAAAGAAAAAAAAAAAAAAGGCAGTTACCTGGATGAGAGAGGCTGCGGCAGGGATTTGTCTATTGAAGTGCTTTTGTCTCTGCTTCTGCTGGACCTTCAGGGCGAACCCCGATCCCAAGATGCCCTGAGCCGGGAAGATTAGGTTGCGCTTGCATCACGGCAGGCGACAGAACAATGTGGCGGGGAACAATTAGTGACACTTACAGCCGGCAGAGCAAAAAAGGAGATGGCAAATACGCTGAAACAGGAGGCGATGGCCTTGCCGATCCACGTTTGAGGGATCTTGTCTCCATAGCCGATTGTGGTCACGGTCACCTCGGGAGAGAAGAGAGAGAAGGTGGTTATTTTTACACCTTGGAAGCCGCATGTCATATTTTGGAAAGCTGGCATGTTTTGTCTTCACTACTTTTGGCATGAGGTTTTTTTTGTTTGTTTGTTTTGATTCCTTTTTCTTTTTTCACACTGCACGAAAGAAAAAATAGACAGGAAGAGAACATTTTAAATAGAACAGCTGAACTTTATTTGGGTTAATCAGAGGAAACGTTAAATGGTAGCGGGTGTGTTCTGATTCCCATTTAACAGTTCGAAAGTGAATGGTTAATTCTACCACAAATGTGATCAAATAAATAAAACCGAGTATTTGAACAGGGTTGTGGAGACATCCCCTGTTCAAATAGTCAAATGAATATTTCTTGAAATATATTTTATGCATTTATTTTTCATGCAGTTTATTTTTCAAGATATGAAAAAGAAAAAAAATCTGTGGTGATGGCCAGCCGGTTAGTGTATTTAAAAGTTGTCACAATGATAAAACAACACATTTCATTTGAAGGCACCTCTCAGGGCACTTGAGGTCAGCTTGCTGAGAAATTGCGGAGGGTCGAACGATTGCCGCACGGCTGAAAGCTTTCGAGCCAAGAGAGGACAAACGGTGAGTTGCATTACTCCTGGAACAGATTCATTTGATTTCCATGGTTCCTTATGGGGCGGGGGGAATTCAGTCAAAACCCGAGCAAATGGAAATTTGAACTGCCCTCTTATAATGAAGCAGGGCCCTGGCGGGAGGACAAGAAAGTCGGGGGGGGGGCTGCAAGTGAGAGAAAGTGAGGGAATGTGATCCAATCCTGGCATCGGCTTGCTCTCCAGCTGTGTCCCGCACCTGCACACGGGGGGTTGAGGGGGGGACTGTGCCAAAGATCAGGGCACGGACATTCTTGTCAGCACACACGCACGCACGCGCACACACACACGCGCACACACACACACACACACACACACACACACACACACACACACACACACACACACCCA